AACGAACACTGTTCGAATAGGGCTATATAGATGGGCTCTATGCCACCCTCTAATCGAATCCAGTCAAAGCGCTCCTTCAATTCAAGTTGCACAAGAAGTCGACAGTAGATATGGTCCGTGGACTGGATCCGATAGAGGGAGTATAGATATGGTCCACGAACTGGATCCGATAGAGAGGGGGATAGACATCGTCCGCACACTGGATCCGATAGAGGGGAGGATAGACGTCGTCCACAGACTGGATCCGATGGAGTTGGAAAGTTTTAGTGATGCCAAGAAGGACCGAAGAGTTTAGCGCGCGCCACATGACCGGGGGGAAGGCAAAAACTTTTGGAACCGACCTCCGTACAGAATAAGATTTATCACGTGATTAGTGTACTGAATAGTATTTTCGCTTACTAATCAAGGTGTACTAACTAGCCAAGGCGGGTGTTGCGAGCGTCTTCATTCTCACGTGAGCGCTTGGCTGGCACGCCAAGTCTAACAGCCTCGAAAGACTGATACTTATTGCCTCTTTACTACAGGGCTACTTAAGCGTTCATTGTTGGCCAGCAGAATAGGCAATGTTGGCTTGGCGTGTCACCCCGACTGGCTTGGCATTATCACTCTATAGTGACACCTGAGGCAACTTGTACCCTCAACCCTTTCCACCTTCTTATGTTGACATTCGTCAGAGTGTGCTTTGAGATAGATCAATCAATCAATCTTCTCTCCCATACAGATCATCATTCATAATCTCTCCCACCTCAGTGCACCCACCTCTCGCCCCAGTACACGCTTGATTCATCAACAACTTTCCCTGCTTGATTCCTCTCTACCACCTTTTTCTACTCCTTCAGCATTGCTCCTTCCGGCCTTCGAACCTCAACATGAATACAATTTGTGGATCCAGCGATGGGGCACCTACATGTACACCCATGTCAAGGTCATCTTCAAGCTCAACTACATCGAAAGAGACTACGACAGTGGAGAGTTCAGCACCGAAGTTATCGCCCTTAGAGGGATTGGAAGACGCTCGTATGTATAGATACAAAGGGATCCGAGACCTAAAAGAACGTGTCCACTCGCAGTCCGCCGCGTTGATGGACGGCCACACGAATCAGCAGTACCTTGTTTTCAGGGGTGTCACAAAAGGCCAGCTTGAAAAGATTGACCATCAGCGCGCCGACATAGGGAAGCATACTCGGATGAGCCATTACGCGGATAACAATCTATTGGTTATCAAGCTGATGCCCTCAGCGGAACATGAAGTTGCGCACCTCACACTAGCCCAGAGACTTCGTGACGAACTTGTCATCACAATGGGCCTCCCGCGAGAGTGCTTATGTCCTATTGGCGGGACAACGTACAAACCCCCCAATTCCTCTAAAGAGGGTGATATGGGATTCTGCCCCTTCCCGATCCGAAAAAAGAAATCTGACTGGCCAACAATTGTTTTTGAGTCTGGACTCTCTGAAACGCTTACTCGTCTAAGACATGACGCAGAATGGTGGATTGTCAACTCTGGAGGAGATGTCAAGATTGTCATCATCATCTCAATTAAGCGAGCACAGAAGACGCTGATGGTCGAAAAGTGGTGCTCTTCTCCGCCTACCGCATATAGACCAGCTACCAGAAGCCACCCAAATCCCAACGCTCCAATTCCGACAAAAGTCCACGAGCTTACTATCACCCAAAATCCCACTCCACAACTAGGTCTTCCTGCTCAGTCGAATATCATCGGTCAGCCAATTGTCACCGTTCAGCCAGGCACTGTCTCAGCCTATGACGTTGCTGGAGCGCCTCTGATTCTCGAATTTGACAAAATCTTCCTCCGAGCCGCTGCACCGCCAGAAAGCGACGTCGTCTTTAATGACGCGGATCTTGCGACTTGGGCGGATTACTTCTGGGAGAACGTTGAGTAGAGAGATCGCAAGGGTTATGGCAGGATCGGGGGGGCACACAGCGCTCCTAATAGTCCAGACTATTAGGAGGACTATCAGTTCAGTTTGCTACTCTTAGACCAGACGAGTAGTTCAGTCTGACTTTACCAGACTGACCATTAGTCTAGTGTAAGAGTAATACACTAATAGTTAGACTATTAGTGTCGCGTTTCGTCACGTGTAATTTCCTGGGCTACAGATGCTAAAGTCCTGGCATCATGGGGTCAGATTTATGATATCGAGGCTCGTCCGTTCACGCTCGGTTACGGACCATCTCGAGTGTGATCAGTAGGGCCTGTCTGGGTGGTTCACAGACTGGATCCGATGAAATATGTGAGGGTTCGAGGTCAAGGATACAAACAATGTATTCTAGCTAACATCGGGTTCTAGGTACGATACGATATTCATACACCCTGTGCGGGCTGAGCCCGTAGGGGACTAACTTTGATCTTGTATTATCTCCCGTTAAACCCGGTTCATTCTGTGTCCTGCATTGTGTCTCTGTCTTCAACAAGCATTCCGTGGCTGAATCCGGACTTGCGCTTAATGTCTGTGTTTCTCAATCAAAATTGCAATTCAATGCACCCCTATCCCTATTGTCGCCCCCATCCGCGCGGCATTCCTCCTCTTTCTAGATGAGTTGCATCGGGGGTTGCCATTCCTTTATCATCCTGGCAGCAACAGCGAAAAAGCTGTGGAGCGAGAAGCGGAGCAGATAGATGTGAACGTTGAAATCGAAGTTGGTCATGGTGGGTAGTTGCTTCGTCGTTCGTAAGTAGTTAGCACGTCGGTGGACGCGCTCCGGTTAGTTTCCTCCACTCAGGATCCTGAGCGGAGTACTCATAGGGAGCACCACGTAGAGGTGAGAATCCGTCGCTCCCCCGGGTTCTAGGTACAAGACGTAGCACGAAGAGATCCAAGATGGGATGCTACGCAGGAAGTGCTTGAAGAACTCCCGATGTTGGGCAATAGCATTGAACAAATGCTAGCCAATCATTTACAACAGACTAGGATATATTGCAACACTCGCTCAATAAAATTGTATCACCATCAACAGGCAGCAATGGTGACGTACGCTCGTTAGATAGATATATAGATGGGCTCTCTCCCACACTCATGAGGAAGAGCCAGAGCACTCTTTCAATTTCACGAAGTTCAACACCTGATTATGCAATCCTTGGCATGTGTCCCGTGACAAAATACCACGACCCATCGGATCCAATCCACGGATCATCTCGACATCGGGGCTCGTTCTTTAGCGCTCGGTTACGAACCATCTCGAATGTGATCAGTAGAGCTTGTCTGGGGTTGTCCACAGACTGGATCCGATGCGTGGATCATGTCGATATCGAGGATATCGACATTTATCGAGTGGGGTGCCCCCCCGGCCACCTAGTCCACGGATTGGATCCTGTTGAACTTCGTGGATTGAAAAGAGTGCTCTGGCTCTCCTCATGAATGTAGGATAGAGCCCATCTATATATCTATCTAACGAGCGTACGTCACCATTGCTGCCTGTCAATGGTGATACAGCCTATTGAGCGAGTGTTGCAAAATGTCCTAGTCTGGTGTAAATGATTGGCTAGCATTTGTTCAATGCTATTGTCCAACAGTTCTCTTGCTAAAAGTATCTGGATCTTTTATATACACGTTTTATGAGCGAATTATGAGAGGCTGTAACACTTTTCACTAGGCAACCGGATCGCCTGAGAGACAAAACCTTATCCTAGGGTTCACAAGGCTGACATGTACGCTCTTCCCGGCAAGATGCTCTGTCACAATCGAGCAATCCAGCCGTTATATTATCAGAGGCGCCCCGAGTGTATGCAAGCAAATCAGCTGTCATCATCGTCATCATTATCATACTTAGTTACCCAAAATACCCACTCCCGTTTGCCCATTCTATCCCTCCAATGTCTTCCAGGTTCTCATTCTCCCCATTAAGTTTCCAAAGGCAGATTCCCAAACGCCTCCAGTGATTAGGTGCTTGCTTTTCTAGGATCAGACCACTGATCACAGTCTCGTATTTATATATTCGGACCTTTCCATGTTTCATACTTGAACTGCGAAGGTCGCTGCTGGCATCCGCAACCTTAATCTTCCCGAGTTTAAGGACCTTAGTATCGAGCTTACGAGTTCTCTTCAGTTCTGTCTCAAGATCGTCCAACTTGCTTTGGTATTTGGAACGTCCAACTCTGAGGTCAGGGGCATCGAGGCTATTGAAGTAGTCGAAGTCGACAAAGTCGCTGAAGGCGTCGAACCGTATAAATGTCGTGAATGGACTCAACCCAGAGCCAGTGCTATGATCGAGTTTGCGGCAGTCGAGTGCAACAAAAAGTTCAACACTCCCATGGTTTAAAAACGCTTTCAACAAATTTTCAGCTCTGCAAAGACGCCCGGAAAAGTGACCTATAAGCTGACCCTCGATGCTTCTAGACCCGATGTACTCGCACAATATCTCAAGGCGACGGTGTCCAAACATGAACCGCAACGAGCCCCACCGCGACTCGAATGACGGTATCCTGGAGGACTGATTTATATGCCAGCCTCTCCCAGGATCTTGTGCTGTGCTGAAGTAATGCATCTGACTCTCCAGGGGGTAATCTTGAACCAGACGAGCCCCAAACTGATCCTCGAGCACATCAATCTTGAAGTTTTCCCCCTCATGACCCGGAGCAGTATTACCAAGCTGATAGCCAAAAATCTGCTGAATGCCGTAAATTTCGTCCAGTTTGTTGGTCGGTCGACGATTCGCTGCCACGCCATAGAGCAGCATGGGGTTATGTGAGGAAATTGCAGAGAGTCCTGTTTCGTGCAACATCTGAACTCTGGCTTTTGCCTTTGCTTTTTCTTCTTCTGCAATGTCTTTCAGGTATGCGGGCGCTTCAAGGATACCCTCCAGCCAGACACACATTCTACAAATCGACTCCAAAGATAGTTTATACTTGGACATCGCGAAAAGTTCTTCGCCTATCCCGCCCAAAATATGATTCTTCTCATAATCCATTAAGCTGAGATATGCTTCTTGCAATGTCCAGAGGGATGTAAACCAAGGGTCTTTGACAATTCTCTCCACAAGGTGGATATGGTCCCAATATATGTCAGAATCCTTCTCCGCGTGGAGCAACTGCCAATCTTCAAACGCAACAGTTGAAATCCAGACGTAAGTTTTCCTTGCCTTCTTGAATATGGCAGCCTGTCGACCGACTTCCACCCGATTGTCATACGAATTTTCGTGCTGGTCAATACAGGCGACGTCAAGCCAAAGGAAGGCGTCGGTTTCGTCAATCCCGTCGATTGCCCCAATCCTATCAATAACTTGTTGAAAGTTATCAACCGTGAAATGGTCGGGGTAAACACGAGGTATGGGCCATTCCACATCACGAATGTTGATCGCCTCGACATCTGCACGTGTGCCATCGGGGATTTTGAAACGGCCCCAGGTGTACGACAGGGCGCTGTATGTTGAGACTTCATACTCTTGGCCCTCCTTGTTTCCGTAAACATTGCCCTGTTTCCATTTCAGTGACGTCTTGCTAGGGATGTGGAGCAACCTTCGAGGCCAGTCCCCGATATGAGGAAGAGGCCAAGAGTGTAGACACATGCGTCGCGACTCGATAAAAGTATGTGGAGGCAACAATGGATCGAGTCAAGATGTAAAGAAAGAGACGGGAACAAATCGACTAATCATTATCTCGCACGAAGTTTCCTCGCTGCGGGCTGCTGCAGGGGCTAACGCTGTCGAGCCACGGTCCTACGTCACTTGGACCAGAAAAAACTCGTCATTTGCGCCTCCTGTATCTCCCTACTTACTAGCCGAGAAATCGTGTGGGCTTCACATAGATGCTGATTCGATCAGGGGCCGTTGTTACGAGGCGACCTTATGGCCGCAGAGACAGGGCTGTAAGACGAAAAGAAGATAGCCTTGTCTCTTTTGTCTCGGTGCCCAGACCTCTCTCGGAAGAGAGTTGGTCCGTTCCGGGTACTCTCGAAAGAGAGGTCTGGGTCAATATGGAAGATTTTGTTAGCATGTTGCATTCGTGTTGCGGGCGCGTCAGCCACATCATATATCTACTATTGCTACAGCATGACCCGACCAAGAAACAGATGGAGATTCTTCTCAGAGTGTCAGAATTGACCCAACATGCGTATTTGGCTCCTAGTAACCGAGAATAGCGAAGGGTACTCGATCGACGACGAAGTTAACCCTGCTTCCACGTCACCGGTATCAAGATGAAATGAAAGGGCTTCGCGTTTCGATAGCAAATACTCCTCTCTCTTATATACAACTAATGGAATTTCCCCGTCGATTATCCCACAAGAGTTATTTTCCAAAACATCAATTTTTCGTCCCCTACGCCGTCAGGACCCTTTCTTAGAAGCACCTGGTTCCGACGAGCTTAACTCGCCAGAGACCATCGGCACACACGAGCTAGTATTAATTCAACCCAGCTTGAAGAAGCGTGACGCTTCGATCTAGGGCTTGTCTCCTTAGTCGGTAAGACTAAATAGTCTGTGGTACGTAGCGCTGTGCTGAACACGACTAGAGTTCTCTAATTGGCTATAACAATCGCATCCCCCGGGGCTGCGATTGTCATCGAGCTTACAAATAGATTATGGCTCGCGCGATCCTTCGTCGATATAGGACTTGGGGCGGAAATACCCAAAAAAAAAAAAAGGCCCCCTCCTATAGTCCATCTCTGACGAACTCATAGATGGGCGCCGCAGCCAGTGAAAGCTCAGCCAGACAAGCTCAACTGCAGAAGAGTTTGAATCAGTGACCTCCTAATGGTATGAACAAGACGACATCATCAACAATCACTGGCTGGAGCATTACGTTACCCATCTAGGGCACCTAGAAACTCAATGGAGCTAGGCCGGACAACCCTCTTACCTTACCTATGATCGAACACTAGTAAGGCCCCTCAATTCTATCGGTTCGACTGTAAGTCGAGTGTTTACCACTCGGTTACGTCCTTGATAGGTCAACCACGATTTGGTGTCAATTTTGAAACAGTTTTTGGCATTATAAAATATAAACTTGGTTTTTTTTTTTTTTTTTTTAATTTTTGGAATCGCCTGGTTAGGGCTTGGCGTTGTGTGGCGACGCCAAGAGCGACGAACCGGCCAATCACGTAAGCATATGGCTTGGCGTTATGACGTAACTATTTTCCGGGATCACGTGCTAACCCGCCGGGGGGGCGCCCTCTCAATTCGATATGATCCATGAATTGGATCCGATGAGATCCCCCTCTCGTCGCCCATCGGGTCCAGTCTATGAACCACCTGAATGGCTCTACTAATCACACTCGAGATGGTTCGTAACCGAGCGTGAACGGACGAGCCTTGACGTCGAGATGACTCGTATGGAATGTTAATGGACAGTAATTGGTCATTTCACTTAATTACCGAAATTTTATATGGGTCATTTGATTAATTGTATTGGGGTAATGTTGGCCACAAATCGGTCCCGATTTTGACCCAGGCCCTTCTGCGAAGGTCGCCCCACAGGGGCGATTAGTGCCTTGGCACACCAAGCAGAGGGTCGTGGGTGCCGAGACAAGGACATCAGGCGTCTTATGGTGGACTTGACCACCCACATTGCTGACAAATAGTCTTCAGTTAAATAATTAAAACCGTCATTGCTGCGGCAAAAATCAAAGTTGCTTCTATGTGGGGTTATTGTAGCCTTTATGGCAGTGACTTTCCGAAAATCGATCCAAGGCCTTTAAAAACAGTGGAATCACGTGCCAATGGCAGATCTCCTCTTATACCCGTCGTGGCCGTTTAGCCTTTAGCATATCGGCAACGGCTTCGACTTCAAGCCACACTTCAGCCTAATCGTGTGTTCTTCAATATGCACCCTTCAAATTCATCAGGGCCGTTCTGGTCATGCAGATATGAATGTCTACGAAAGCCCTCGACCAGCTATAGTAGTTGCAGGGTTACGAGAACCGTCTTCCTGCCCACCCAGCCGGACCTCCTCGACCATCTTAATTGCGATTGCGAGATTCTTCCTTACACGGCCGCTTTCACTCTCTTCCTAAGGTAGCCTAATGCGGATGATACGTGTCTCAAAAAGCACTCGGTCAAACACTTTTTTCAGTAATACACACTTCTATATCTCTATCTACCCAGTACCTATACCCTCAAGGTGGCAAGAACAACGATAATACAATGCGCCTCCTTACATTCGACAGTCGTGGTGAGCTGGGCCTGACTGAGGACTTAATCGAAGATATTCCGAGATACGCGATACTTTCGCATACTTGGAGAGCGGATAACGAGGAAGTGACTTTCAGCGAACTACATCGTGGACCAGATAAGAGCAAGGCTGGTTATGCTGTAGCGGGGCGCTACGTGCATGGCTTATGTAAGGGGCAAGCAAACATGGGTGGGTAGAAAGATGGCGAGAGCATTGAGCCTTTCTTGTAATTAGAGCTTGGTGTGTGTAGTTGCTCAACAGCTTTGGCGACGACATCCTCCCTGCATGACAGGTACTCAAGTGCTAAACCGTTCATCACCTATACAATGCGAAGATTCAGCTCTGTGGGGAGCAAGCCCGGAAGGACGGTTTACAACATTTCTGGGTGAACACGTGCTGCATTGGCAAGTCAAGTAGCGCAGAGCCTCAAGAAGCTATCACCTCCATGTTTCGCTGGTACCGTGACGCAGCAAAGTGCTACGTGTATCTATCGGACGTTCCAGTTCGTGGCGGAAACAATAACCAGAATGAGCCGACATGGGAATTGGACTTTCGGAAAAGCAAATGGTTCACACGAGGTTGGACGCTTCAAGAACTCCTTGCTCCGGCATCGGTTGAGTTCTTTTCACAAGAATGGGAGTATTTGGGCAGCAAGACTACGCTCGAGCGGCAAATACACGAGACGACGCAGATTCCTATTAAGGCTCTCCGCGGCGCTCCTTTACCTACTTTTGGCGTTGAGGAGCGAATGCGATGGAGAGCCAATCGCAATACTAAAAAAGAAGAGGATAATGCGTACTGTCTACTGGGGATTTTCAACGTCTTTATACCTTTAATATATGGCGAGGGAGAAAATGCGTTTCGCCGACTTCGAGAGGAGCTCGCTAAGGCCCCAGATGCTTGGCTTCATGACACCAAAACCGCGTTACGAGCATATTATTTGGATGCCAATCGTCCTTTGATCCAACGGATATCTGGTGACCCGCTCCCGATGGATCGTTGCTACATCAATCTTGCTATTGTGGAGCGATCAATTAGGGGGAACCGCGAGCGAGACTCCTCCCCTTTGTCCATATCCGCCGAGCCTGAAGTTGATTCAACTGATAAGGATAGTCAGGTGTTGCTACCCGAGCTCTTCAGACAACGCAAAGGATTGGACGGCAAGCCGTTTGTACCAAAGCGGATCTTGATTCGAGGACACGCGGGAGTTGGGAAGACCACGTTATGCAAAAAGATTGTACACGATTTCCTCCACAACGGGATGTGGCAGCCATTATTTGATTGGGTTCTCTGGATTCCTCTTCGGCACCTCAAAGGCAATTTTGGGAGGATATATACCCTTCAGAATCTGGTCAAGAACGAATTTTTTGCCCAGGATCTGAATGGGACACACTTTTCGCAAGCCTTGTGGAAGTTCACAGCTGAAGAAAGGACCAGAAATAAAGTTTTGTTTATCCTTGATGGTTTGGACGAGGTTTCCCAGGAATGGGACCCGGAGACCCCCATGAATAAGCTTCTTCGTTACCTTTTGCAGCAACCCCAAGTCATTGTCACATCCCAGCCATACGGGATCAATCTGGATAGCCTGGGACAATTCGACCTACATCTCGAGACCGTTGGATTTCAGCCCAGCCAAGTCGAGGCATATGTGAATGATCCACACATTATGCAGGATGAAACTTTGGCACGGGAGATCTTGACATTCATCCGTGAGCATCCACTTATTCAAGAGCTCGTTCAGATCCCGATTCAACTCGATGCGCTGTGTTATAGCTGGGACCAAGATCTCCGCCAAAGCGACATTTCCAAATCGATGACCACCATCTATCATGCCATTACGATGAAGTTATGGCGGAAAGATATTATTCGTTTAGGAAAGGTATACGGAGGGAAATCTCTGAACGAGCACCATGCGCAGTCCTTCAGGAGCTGGCGGCAAATTGAGAAAGTCGTTCGAGAAGAAATGTCCTTCCTTGAATGTCTGGCATTTACTGGCCTATGCAATGAAGTGATCGAGTTCAACTCAAAGGATCGAGATCAAGTGTATGAGCACTTGTCAGAGATGGCCGGCGACCTCATGCATGATGAAATAATGCAAAAAAGCTCCTTTGTACGCTCATCCGATATTTCCTTAGACGATCGCGAGCGAAGTTATCACTTCATACATCTGACCTTCCAGGAGCTTTTTGCCGCGCAATATTTTGTGAGGCATTGGGCAAGGCGCGATCCCATTTCATGTTCGACACTTCGAGGAAGAGAGCCACTCTCCGTTTCAACCACACTCACCACACCTCAGGAATTTTTCCAGAGGGAGAAATACAATCCACGGTATGCTACGTTGTGGCGCTTTGCTGCGGGTTTATGCCAAGCTCGTTGGTCCCGAAATGATCCAACATTTACGCTCCTGGAAGAATATTTACAGGCCTGGAATGCCGAGCCTCGGGATCTCTTAGGTCCTGTGCATCAACGACTTCTCATGCACTGCCACAGCGAAGTGACCGTATCATCCGATCTTATACGTGGTCTCCGAGAGAAGACAGAAAACGAGTTATTGCAGTGGCTATTGTTTGAAAGCAACTCCGAATCGGGTTGCAACTTGGGCCGGGAAAGGGAATGTCCAGAACATGTCTTGAACACCATCTTACAAAAACAGTCCGAAAACACAAACTTTATGCTTTACGTGCGTTATCCTTACGACCAAGCGTGTCACCAGCAGCGTTAGAGCTAGTAGCTCTCTGGCTTAATGGCTACGCTTCCTACAACTTGAAAATCGGATCATTGGCGGTGGTAGCAGCCAATACTAACTTCTGTCTGGAAAAGAGTTTGGATGCTCTGGTATCGCGTTTGAAGCACATAGAGTCGGATATGAGACGGAGCGCAGCTAATATCTTGGGGAATCAGTTGTCACTCCCATCAACGATCCTGGACGCTCTGGTATCGTGTTTGAAGGACGAAGAGTCGTATGTGAGATCGAGCGCAGTCGATGTCTTGAGAAAGCAGTCGTCACTTCCACTAACGATCCTGAATGCTCTGGTGACGTGTTTGAAGGACGAAGAGTCGGACGTGAGATGGAGGGGAGCCGATGCCTTGAGAGAGCAGTCACCACTTCCATTAACGATCCTAGATGCTCTGGTGACGTGTTTGAAGGACGAAGAGTCGGATGTGAGATCGAGCGCAGTCGATGTCTTGGGAAAACAGTCGCCACTTCCAACGATCCTGAATGCTCTGGTGACGTGTTTGAAGGACGAAGAGTCGGATGTGAGATCGAGCGCAGTCGAT